CTCCACGACGCCACAAGAGGCCTCCAAGAGGCCTCCCGAGAGGACCTCCAGAGGCAAGAGTCAATGACTTTCCGTAGGTGTGTGAAGGATGTCTGCGTTCTCGCTTTCTCGGTTGTCCGACACTCGAAGACGGCCCAAGAGGCCCCAAAAGGCCTCCAAAGACGGCCCAAGAGGCCCCCAAGAGGGCCCAAAAGACGGCCCAAGCGCGCCCCAAGACGGCCCAAGAGGCGCCGGAAACGGCCCGAGACGGCCCCCAGGCGGCCCCACTACTGAAGATCCAGGCCTCCCGCCCCAGGAGGCCCCAGCTCGGCAACGGGCCCCCCGTGGCGAAGCCGCGCGCTCTCGGGCGGGAGGGGAGGGGCCTGGGCCCCCATCGACCGCCCGAGTCGGAAGTCCAAGTCGCCCACGCTCGCAGGGATCCGCACGACGCGAGAGGCCACTGTCCGAGCATGGCCACAGTGTGTGTGTGTGTGTGTGTGCATGTGAAGAAGAACACGCGCCCCTTCTCCGAAGGCCAAGGGCCCATGGAGGTGATGCCATGAAGGAATACCATCCCGAAGTGTGGGGCCCAGAGGCGAAGAACATAGGGGTATCTGTCCGAAGCGAGGATTGTCCTCTCCCCTCGTGCCATCTGTACACGGCTGAGTCTGTCCTCCTCCCCACCGCTGCCCCGGATCATCGCGCTCTCGCCGCGGCGCCACGGGGGGCTCCGACGCGAACGAGATGCTTGCACTCCCCGCAATCCGCGGCGCCCTCCTCCCGCAACGCAAAGGCAGGATGCGGACGAGCCCGGAGGAGGACAGAATGACGAAAACTTCGAAAGACAAAATGGGGCAAAGAGATACCGATAGCGCTACTCCTCGGCGGTGGACAAACCTCCCTTCAACAAACCTCACTTTAGTGAAAACGGCCTGGGGCCGAAACCGACGGACCTGGAACCGCAAACATGACGGCCGCGACGCCCTCTCGCGAACCGAAAACGGCCGATTCGCTAATCGACGTGTCAGGGTAGGCCTATCAAACTCCGAACTCCATGGGCCTCTCCCGGGGCGCGTTCTGATCGGGATGTCGACGCAGCTCAGGCCGTGACCACGAGGACGGGCAGTGGATACGGGCACTTTTCATGCCTGTAAAGGGCAGCACAACACATAAACATATGATCTACCTATATGACCACCCTTCGGGTGAACAGGAGGTTGGGGGGAGGAAGGAAAACCCACGGACGACAACTGCGATGACGCTGATGGCGACGATGCTGGCGTTGCGCTCGCGAGACGGCGACGATGCACGATGATGCTGATGGCGAAAATGAATACTTAAGGGGAATTGAAATGGGGTCGGGGTAGATGGGGTTTGCGCTCAACCCTGGGCAGCCTGATCTATCACTAAAACAACGCCTTGGACCCCTCAGGAAAGCGTTCGACACCCCACCATCGACGTGGCGTACACAACGTGGTAGGTTCACAATCGTCTCGTGACCATTGCACTGTTGATCTCCGAGCACGCGCCACGTGGGTGCCGAACCACTACTGGTTCGGACATCCAGGTGGCGCCATCTCTAAGGTCAACAACGCAACGGACTCTTCTTGACGACGCGCGAGCCTACTAAACTTGGCGTGCCCCGAGTCGGAATTTCGGGCGCCGAAGTGGGTGTCACGCGCCCAAGTCGGTGCAGATGCGCTGCACTGCACGATTCAGGGTTGCGCACGGCCCTGACCCGCCTCAAACAATCGCAACATATCCGTGGCTCCTAGAAGCGCCCTAGAGGCTCAGTGTGTCCAGCGAAAGTCGTCCCTCTGATGGCGATGCGTCCCGTGAACACCGCCACCATCGCGATCGCCTTCCGTGCTACCATGGTTTCACCAAATCTGATTGGAACGCCGCCGCCACCATCGCATCATCATCGCTACGACCACCACCATCATCGTTGGCATGATCGTCGTCGCGATGGTCCGTCCGTGCTTGTGATCCCCAACGCACGCTCAGACCGTTCTTGGTTTGTGGTGTTCTGTTCCCAGGTTATGTTACATCGCAAGCCGCAGGCCGTTTCACGCCGTAATTATTTCACGTGTTTTGTCATGTGGGTGCGTGCGTGTACGGGCACAGGTTGGTGTCTGCGTGCGCCGTTCTGCTTGCGTACACTCGTGCGTGCGACCGTCTCTTTGTATTTCGTTAGTGTCTGGATTCTTCCCTCTCCGTATTGTTGTTCAGACTTGATAGTTCGGTTGTTTGTTGGGTGATTTTGCGCCCCCCCCTGAAGCGTTCAAATTGACGCTGTTGATCTTCGTTCGTCTGGGCAGGCAGCGGAATAGGCGAGACCCAACATGCATATGACCCTAGCTCCTCAGAGGACGCAGCGAGGTGGCGGATTGGGCAAAGCCTCGTGGGTAGGACGGCAGCGGCGTGGGGGGGAGAGGGATGAGGAGGTGGAGGATCAAGGGTCTCGGTTGTCGCACGCATTGCAGCGTTCTAGCATCACAGCGGTATGACCCTCTTGGCTGAAGTGTTATCAACGTAACTCCTTGACATTTTCACCAGCGCGGGCAGAACGATTATCACCAATCGGACGTGTCTCACGGCACGCGGTGTATATAACCGCGACTCGCTAGCGGCCACCTTGCACGATATCAGTTGCGGCAGGTGCTGCCACTCAACATCAAACGCTCAATTACGAGAAACAAAAGTCTAAGCTCGGGGACACTACCAACCTGAGGAGAACAGCAGTGCGGGTCCCGACGTAGCAACGTAGAGTACCCACCCTACCACACGTACACGTGCGCATGATCGTGTTGCGAACATGTGTGTTGATATTATCGTTTGTGATGTTGGATAGTTCACGCGTGCGCATGCACTGATTGCACTAGCAGGTAGCCTCACTGCACAGTGACCCCTACAATGAGGCGTTCGTCCCGAAAGCCTCCTAGATGTCAGACGCAGGCGGTGCCCCAGGGAATCTGTGACTAGAAGCTGCGCGATCAAACGATCGGCCCGTGCGCAAAATAAATTGGGCACACAGCTAGACCCTTGAGCTTCATGTGATGCTCCCAAGCCCACTTCAGGCAGTAGGACGCCGCACGTTTGAAGGTGACGTCGTCACCTTCCTCGTAGACCCTGCTGGCCGAGAATGGGGCCATCTCCGTAAGATACGATACGCGAATTCGTAAGTCCCAGTAGCGCCCGAGCGAGAGCCGACACCCTGCTACGTCTGGCGAGGATGAGTTGGCCTTCTCGATGTCCAGCAGCTCAGCTGGCTGAATCACTACTTGTTTAGGGGCCCTCTTCCTAGCGGCAGCCTTGGCCTTTGCTTTGGGCCTGGCCTCGGCGCGTTGCGTGGCAGCAGCCACTTGCCGCTTGTATTCAAATGCATGTTCCTTCAGCTGCTCCCTGTCGTCTTCGTCGACGTCGTCGATCAAGATGCCGACGCCATCTGAGCCAAGGATGCTGCTGAACTTCGTTGGGATCAAGGCATGCCGCGTGCTCAAGATATGTTCGATCCCGTCAGGCTTCAAACCAGGCAACAAAAACTGCACGAGAAGTTCCACTAGGTTGTATTCCAATGTCGGTAGCCGCTTGGCCACGGGAACTTCGAAGTACGAAATCGCTTTCTTGAGGAAGAACACAGTTAGTCCAGGAAACGCTTTCATGGCGGAGAACCGAAGGAGCGACTCCAAGGGGCCCTTCTGCTCGAGCATGAATCCCTTGGGAGCGCCATCTTCCTTAGTAGCTACCGCCATGCATGGAGGCACGGGGTGCACGTCGCAGCGCTCATAATGCCTCACGTCTCGGATGTGGATGAATTCCCAAAGTGGTGCGCGACTTTAATGACCAGGCTCGCAGATATCAAAATAGGGTTCGCCGTGATACACCTCATTTTTAACGTGCCAGGCAAGGGCCCCAAGGTGGGAAAGTCCAAAACAGGCATCGTCTTCTCTCTGCCCTCCCTTGTGTCCTGAAGGTATGTCCCAGGCACTGCCAGGAGACTGAGCCAAGTGAGCGCAACGTCTCCAGGTGTCTCCGCTGAAAGCAAGCTGGGCGTAGCAACTGAGCTGCGAAAGTAAGCCTCTGGAGAAAACTTGTCCTCGGGTAAACCAAAGAAACACTGCGACGACTTGGAATTCGTAAGCCATGCCCCGTCTCCTTAGTGTCCTCCTGACCCTCGCTCCCCCCCCGATCTTCTCCTGATCCCCCCTCCTCCCTCTGGCCTCGGAATGCCCCCCCCCCCCCCCCCTGCCCGGGGGAACGTTGGAGGGGGGTAGATGCCCCCGATGATCTGGCACGGCAAGGCTACGCCCAAAAAAATACATGGCCCCGTCTTCCATGGTCAAACGCAAGCTTCGATGTTTTGACTGCCAGATGGGGCGGGGGGCGGGGGGGGGGCATCTCGCTCCAGACTCGAAGCTGTCTGCCGTGAAAAGGTGAGCGAACAAGAGAATAATGGATTTCACGTTGTCGCATCCTTTTTGCAATCTGAAATCGAGACCAAGCGCCCCTCGCCCAACGAGAACTCCGGGTCGAAGGCCGCACTGTTTAAGCTGACCTCGTGGGCTGTTGCAATGTCGTCGACGGTTGGCTTCGGCTGAGTGCGGTCGTAATTCTCAGGGATGCCACTGGCCAACTCGGTGTGCCATCGTTGCGCGCGACCCTGCTTGCTGTTCCCATTCTCCCGCTGGGCTGCGTTCAGCGCCCGATGGGCCAGCTCAGACGGCAGTGAAGTGAGCGGACAATTGGCAAGGTCTTGCAGTTCGCGGATTGCCTGATCTGGAAAATTGAGGAAGTCCGATTCGGCTGCCCCCACTAAGTACTCCCTCGACAACAAGTTCCTCGGCCACGCCGCCTCGTACAACGTGTCGTGCACCTCCTTCTCAGTAGCAGGCAAGTTCTCGTACCTCTCAAGCATCTGCCACAACTTCCTAACCCATCTCATCGTCGCATCGCGGTGGTCGTCGGACTTGAGACCGGCCATGAACGCGAAGGGGGGCGCTTGCAAACAACGATGAAGTCTACTTGATCTCGTTCGCCACATACCGCAACGCAAACCCAAACAACGCCTCGACAACAAGTGTGTCCTCCTGCGGAGTATCTGGGTCGAACGCGTCACCCTGACGCAAGAAGCCGCACTCGTTCAAGAAATCGTCGTCGCCTAGCATGCCGAGCACAGCATGGAAAACCTTGTCTCTGCCACCAGAGGCCATGTCGGTGTCCACGTTGAAGAATCCCATCGCTGTACTTCGGCTCGTGATGTCTTCCATCATTTGATCCTCCACTGGACTCGGGGCCCGCATGAGGCCGATGGCGAGTTGGCGGGACGTCCGCATCGACAGGATCCTAGCAACGACTCCAATGGGCCCTCCTTGCTTCCTGAAGTCCTTCACCTGATCGGCCTCCTTGGTTCCATCATGCTCGTGAGGTCCAGGGGTGCTGGAGCGTCAGCCTTGACATCGGGGTAGCCCTCCAATGCGTTGTCCAGGTGGATGTCTGGCAGAACGTGGTCTGCGTACTTGTCAACCACACCCCTTGTGAGCATAATGTACATGATGACTAAATTCAATATGTCGAAGCTGGGCATGTAGCGTTCCATCCTGAGGCTCCACGCCTGCCACCGATTACTGGCGTAGTTCGTACCAAGGTGGTTGACAATGTGATCGTCCCTTATCTCGTCCCACGTCTGCTTCATGATCCTCAGTCTCAAAGTTCGGCGGTCTCCTGCCCTGGCATCTCGACTGCGCAATCCTTTCGTAATGGTGACGAAATAAAAAGTTGCCCCTACAACACGAACTGAAATATTATTGGGCAACCCGCTTGATGGTCTGATGGCTCGATTCGCTCTTCCATGGCCCCTGTAAGAAACGAAACGCAGTACCAAAATCAAGCTTGATAAATGTCAAGCTTGCCTGGCTGATGGCGTTCTCTATTTCGAACATGCTTGTGGGGGGGATCGTAGACCTCGTGGCCTCTGATGTCGCCAACGCAGCCGCCCCCATAGAAAAAAAAAAAAAAAAAAAAAAAAAAAAAAAAAAAAAAAAAAAAAAAAAAAAAAAAAAAAACTTGTGGGACAATCCGTTCGAAGCACCGTCGAGCACATTGATCGGCATCGGGCGCACGTTGCCCCAAGGGACCTCCAGTCGAGTGTCCCTTGTCTCTTTGTGGATGGTGCAAGATCGGCGGCTCGGCCCTTCAGAATTCCTCTGCACGTCCTCAGGCAGTGTGTTGACAGGGATGAAATAACGCATTTCGTGTTCACATAATTTCCCAACCTGCCCATGCAACGATTGAAAGAAAATGCTTGGTGCCTCCCACGGGCGGGCCATGACGGAGCTGGTGGTCAAAACAACACAGGTGCGCTTTGTTGGATGTGCATTTTTCCAAGAGATTGCCAATGGATTTCACGTTGTAATTTCGGAAGAACATATCAGCCCTATCGTTGAATCTGGTCGGGGCATCATCCACGAGACAACCCTTGCTGTCAGTAGCTGGGCCAAACCACGATGGCAGTGCCTTGGGGCGCCAAAACAAACAGGATGCTAAGGAGGGGCACTGCCTGGAATTGGAAGGCAATGGCTTCGAAAAAGGAGGAGGACCCAGGACAGGGGAAGAGGTTAGGGAGAGGGGGCTGCGGGGCCTGGCATCGACCCGTCGACGCCAGCGAGGTTTGCAATCAGGACCCGACCCTGCGCACCTGACCCCGTGCGGCGCATGGAGGAAGGAGGGGGGCGAGGAGGCTGAATGGGGAGGAAGTGAAGGGAGGAGGAGGGAGGAGGAGGAGGAGGAGGAGGGGGGACGAGGATATTATGCCACCCTCTACTCCATCCCGGGCCCTCCTCATCTTTCTTGCCATCTCCCTCTCTCCCCCCCTCCCCGCCGCATTTTGTTTGCCCCCGCTATAGCTGGGATGCCACGGGCATGCTCATAGTTGCCAGCGACTCCTTCGCGTCGATAACGAGCGTAGCTTGGGCGCTCTCGGCTGGCCCCCCCATGGCCACTCGCATCCTCGTACAAGCACGCGACTCCCAGACAAGTGAGTCGGCGAGTTGCCCGAACTCGCTCCCGCGCGCGCTTCAGGTCCCATTCGCCAGCGGCGCTCGCGACATATGCGTGCAGGATACGCGCGCATTTGCGAGAAGACCCATATGTGTGATCAGTGGTTCCATTGCTGAGTGCCAACTTCAGGTCGCCATCAACTCGCCGACGATTGCCTTTCGGCGTCGTGAGTCCAGCGCTGGCAGTGCGTGGATCTGTAGAGAAGCCTAGGCGGTCAATAGCCCTGACCATCACATCCACACTGTTACTCAGGAGTGAGTTGAATACCCCAGCAGCAAATGGGCAATCGTCCCGACTGAGAATGACAGCGTTGAGGAACTTGACAAACTTGGCACAGTCTGCGTCATGCCTGGACTCGGACAAGGCCCACCCCACAGCGTAGCCCAGATGCGAACACACACCATCCTGCAGCTGCGAGTTGTGGCGCGGGCAGGTATTGCAGAACCGTTGCAGAACTGGCCAGATAGCGTCAACGCTCATATGATGTGCTCCGAGGCGACGTGAAAACAGGTGGGTAAGCATTGCGTGGGCCATGTCCTGATCGCGCCTGGATGCCCTCGTCCTCATCCAAGTGAGCATCCATACAATGAAACCTCGCAAAGATATCGTGAACTCGCCCGCCACGTAGTCACCCTCATGCCCCTGCTGCTGGTACTTGGCCGTGTAGGCCCCCATGCTCGGCCGAACCTCGCCTGGCAGGTATTCCAATCCCAAGATATTGAGCTCGGTGGCTACTTCCGCCAGCTGGATCTTCAATGCCCGAGCAGTGCACCACTTCGTCGTCGTTCCAGAGTAGAAGGCGTCGAGAAGGCCACGAACCTCGAGGAATGTGACATCGTCTTTGAAAACGTAGAGCTTCCAATCCAGAGGCGCAACTTGTCCAGTGCTCAGCTGCGCGCCCCCCTTCAAAAAAGTAATATTCATAGTCTCTAGTCGCACCGGTGGCACGCGTCATGCACTGGCGACTTGGCGTACTCTGGCGAGGCCAATGTGTTGGGCCGCCAGGTCCACCCAACGCCGATTCGAACCAAAATGGCTGCGATGCTGAGGGTGGCGGAGGGAAACAGTGTCAGACCCAAGTGGGTCGCCATCGCCCTAACCTTGTTCGGGCGGCGCGCCCCTCGCTTTAGGACAAAGGGTGACGCGGGGATTACACGGGGCTGGGCGCCCAGGGAAGACGAATAAGTGCCAAGAAGACGTTGGGCAATCAAAGCGATGATGTGCACGCGGGTCTAGACACATGGTTTCGAGCATTTGTTGCGAGGATGTCTTTGGCCAGGGTCCATCTGTCAATGCTTCGGGGCTGCTCGCATCGAGTCCCCATGGGACTCCGCGGGCACTGATTTTTGTCTGGGTCTTATTTGGGCGGCAGCGGTGAGGACGTAGGAAGGGCGATGATGGCGAGGGGGGGGGGGAGGGGGGGGGGGGGATCGGTAACGGCAAGGATTGCGGCGATTGTCACGAGGACGAATGGAGTAAAGACATTGTCGGGGGGGCGCGTCGATGTAGAATCCTCGCGGGTCCAATTCCTCAGCGTTCCTCGTGTCCTCGTGGTCGATTCGTCCTTTTCCCCGAATCCCTCCCCGCTCCCCCGCTCGACCCATCCCATCCCCATTCCCTCCGTGTCTCGATGCCGATGGTTGTTCGGTGATCATGGCGATGACGAGGGCCCCGAGGATGAGGATGGCGATCATTGCCATGGCAGGCCAGTTCTTACAAGCTCGATGGGTATATCGTTGGACGGACCTCGCAGCGCATAGCACACAATCACCACCCGCAGCGAGCGCGCTTGATCTGCTTACCCCTAGCAGTATCTAGTAAACCCAATCGCCCAACAGCGCGCGAACGCGGCGCTCGAGAACTTAAAGTAAGCGGGCCAGGCAACAAAACAACAGCATGACAATACGGGCGAAGCATACTAAGTGGCACGGCTGTCAGACGAGACCGTCTGTCGAATTCGCCATTGTTGCTTCTGGCCAACATGCATACATGCAACCAGTGACCCTCTGACACTGCAATCTGCAACGCGCTCGAACTACTTCACCTCCGCGGGCGGCGGAGGCTTGAACTCAGCAAACTGCGGGGCGATCGGGACGGCGTCGCCACTCAAGACCTTCGAAGGCCCATTCGAAGACCCGCGGCGGGATGGAAAACTGCCTCTCAGCGCTGCGCCGACCTTCGAGACTGGCATGGGGACGCCGAGACGGCGCCCAACCCTAGTCGGTTTGGCGCCCGCCCCACTGGCCTTGGCAGCGCACTGGGCGCCAGACTCATGGGCTTTGATGCCCAGGCGGCGCTGTTTCGGAGATCCTACTGCGGTGCCACCTGCAGGCGTCTGGATCTGGACCCCGCCCTCCTGCCCCTCTTCATCGAAGTCAGTGTGTGCCGACTTGCGGAACATGATGTGCAGCTGCTCGCAGAAGTCACCCCCGTCCTGGCGCACGGTGGCGGTGCGGTAGCTGTGGTTGTTCGCAATGTATAGTTTCGCCGGCCTGGGGATCTTGAGGACGGCCTCGGACTTGTTGACGGTCGATTTCACGGCGCATGTGGTGCCAATGACTGCAATCGAGAAGTGGCCAGCAGTGTCAAAATCAACTGGAAGCACGAGACCTTTACCACGGTGGCCCTTCAACACGTATTGCTCCTTGATGTATGTGATGACGCCTCCCTTCGCGCGACTCTGCATCGGGATCGTGTCCGACATCCCGACGTCGCAGAGGTAGGTTATGAGTTGCTGCACGGTGCCCTTGTTCTGCACGCGCTCGCCCTTCTTCAAGAGAAGCCTGAGGTTCCGCTTTGAAAATGCATTGGCATCGCACGCAGCCAGGGCCCTCATCCGCGCTGTGACGTTGACATCGCCAAAGCGGGAACGATTGCGATTACATGGGACGTCGTCGTCAGGCTCTGCATCTGGGTCAGGGCCCTTGGAAGCCCACAGGAGCAGGCTCATGAATATCACATGCTTGAGACTGCTCGGACGAGTTGGCAGGCGCACTCTTGATCGCCAGCGTCGCCGCAGAGGGCGAAGGAACTGCAGCTCGAGGGCTCGGCAGTGGGGAGGTCGGATCGCTCAGCAGGCCGTTGTTGACAAGGTCTTGCTCCACCCGCCAGCACTCATCAGGCTTCGCCTTGAGAATGGCAGTCACGCGCTCGAAACGAGCCTGCTGTTCGAACTCCTTCGCTTTCAGGCGCAAGCGGTGGGTCTTCTGCTCCTTATTCTCTCCCGCACGCGGCGCCATGCCGTGAGGCCCCAGACCTCGAGACCTCGAGACCTCGAGACAGACCAGAAACGCACTGTGCCAAAACAGCTGCGGGACAACTGGACTGACAGCGACGACGCCGACGAAAACAGGGCTGGCGACTCAAAGGACATGTCTCTGCAGGTGGACCCATTCAGCACCCAGAACATTCACCGAAGCCCCTCAAGAGGGAGGAGAAGAAAAGGCGAGACAGAGGATACTTAAGACAGGCTGAGACACGCAAAGGATGAGCAGGGCCTAGAACACAGAGGCGACGCTTGGAGCTCGCACTAGCTTTTTATGGGGGGCACTGCGTGACCCCACCATCCCCTGTCAAACACACAATAGTCACGAATGCAGCGTCGCATCAGCGAACTTATCACGCAACGTGTCACGC